GTACAACCATAATGGACCTTAGAAGCTCAGATGGCCAGACTTCGTCTTTCTTACTTTGAACTTAGTATCAGGAGGGATCAATCCCTGGAGGACATCATACTGGGTAAGGTGAAAGTTTAGATAAAAAGAGGGGGCCTTTCAAAAAGATGGATTGGCAGCAATGGTCTCAAGCTTAGCATCACCTGTGAGAATGGCCCATTATTGTGCAGTGTTTCATTCTGTTGTACATAGCGGTTACTGTAGGTGGGAATCAACTTGATGGCATCTAACAATAACAGATTGGTGTGGTGCTGTAAGATAAGCACTGGACTGCTAACTGCAAGTCCGGCAGTTCAAACTCAGCAGCCACTCCACAGAAACCCTACACAGCATTGCTATGAATTGTAACCGACTCAGATACGTTAAACAATAACATTAGGTGAGACTGATAAGAGTATAGTATATGTGTCTATAATATATGTATAAGTAAGTTTGGTGGTGGTGGCTGTGTGCCGTGGAGTCGGTTCTGACTCAACGACCCTGTACAGGGTTTCCGAGACTGTAAATCTTTATGGGAGCAGAAAGCCTCATCTTTCTCCCACAGAACAGCTGGAAATTTCGAACTGCTAACCTTGAGGTTCGCAGCCCGATTCGTAACCACTAAGCTACCAGAGCTCCTTATAAGTAAGTTTATGCTAGCTTAAAATTTCATAACTGTTTCAAGAATTTTATCCTAGAAAGGAAAGTATGCGTATTGTATACTTATTTTTTCATTTCTTAAATCTTTATTATGGATTTCCTATACCAGCTGCTCCTCGGAATCCCTATACAGGGTCGCTGTGGGTCGGAATCAACTTGATGGCACTTAACAACAACTTTTATATTTTAAACACTACTAGACGTTGTTGTTGTTGACATTGGGGATCTAAAAATAACTTGTTTCCCCAAAGCAGTGTGTAATTTAGGAGTTGTTGTTAAGTGCCATTGAGTCAGTTCCCACTGTAGCAACCCTGTATAGGGTTTGAGGAGCAGCTGGTGAGTTTGAACTGCTGACCTTGATGTTCAAATTGATCTTGCAGTCCAATGCTTATCCTCTAGGGCTACACCAATTCATTAAACAAAGAATTTTGTGGTTATAAAAGTTAGTAGCTGTGGTTCTGCCTCATTTTTGGAGAGTCAAAGAAGGGATATCTAATAAAATCACACTTTGGGGTGAGTAAAAAGAAGTGGAATGGACATAGGAACCACAGGGAGAAAGTGGAACAACTAGTTGCATGGAGAGGTTTGCAATCATTGAGATGAAACAAAGAGGATGATTTCTTGAATGTAAAATTGATTATCTTGTCTGTAAACCTTCACTCAAGTCACAATAAAAATAAATAAATAAATAAATAAATAAATAAATAAATGCGCTGTTAGTCTTCAGAGGTGTTGCCAGTTAGACTAAGCACAGACACCTTCATTAGAGTAGAAGTTGAAATCTCAATGACATTTCAGTAACTGTAAGCTCACTAATAAGACTTAATTACTATTTTATCTACATATTCTTCAAAATATGAAAGAAAAAAATATCTGATAGAGAAGTGGAAACATGACTTAACCTTTGCGTGCCAGATAAATGTGACTTAAAAAGGGAAGAGAATTCAGCTCCTGGCTCAAGTCTATGAATATTAGTAGCAAATTCAATTTAGAATCTTTACTAAGAAAACGTTATTGGTTGGTGGTAGTGGTCTTCAAGTTGATTCCAGCACATGGTGACCTCATGTGTGCAGAGTAAAATGACTCCATAGGGTTTTCAAGGCTGTGACCTTTCAGAAGCCAATTGCCAGGCTTATCTTCTGATATGCCTTTGTTGTTGTTGTTAAGTGCTGTCGAGTCGATTTCGACCCGTAGTGACTCTGTATAGGGGTTCCGAGGAGCAGCTGCTGGGCTTGAACCGCCGACCTTGTGGTTCAAACTGACTTTGCAGTCCAGCTCGTTAACCCACAGCTCTACACCAGGAGTCCCTTTGGGTTGGTTGAATTGGCAACCTTTTAACTAGTTGAGTGCATAACCTTTTGTGCCACCCTGGGACTCTCAGGAAGGTTTAGAGAC